AGTGTCTGGAACAAATATTCTAGGCCAAGATCAGAATCAGGAATTCAAGCCTAATCCATCAGATCTTACTCTAATACAACGATCAACTATCACTGCAAAGAAACACAATCCTATAATCCTCCTCAAAACACACCAACTTTCACAACAAAGCGCACGGATGTTGAAATGAATGAATGGAAAAGCGGGACTCTGTCCAAGTATATTTCACTGATTATATATCCAATGTGAAGCGGTACCAGTATAGTGGATAATGGGCTTAATAGATAACTCCGGGATCAGACAATGTCATTTGGTGAAGGAAGAAGTGATGAGGACAAAGGGGACTGTCTGATTACTTGTTAGCTACATTTGCTTCTCATAACAGACAAAGAACAATTAAAGGACAAAGGCGTTATAAAGTAATCTCTCTATGGATTTATTTTGTATTATGGATTAATTTCGAATCTCCGACAATTACCTACTTTGACAAAATTAAATTTTCAGGAACTATTATGGCTTTTTATCAGACAAGTATTCCAACTGAGTCGTTTTTGGTAGAAGAATTGCCGATATTCGCCTTTTTAGGGTACGTTATTGGAAGATTCCGATAATCATTTCGCAGCCTACCCAAATCAGGTCATGTAAAACACGTAAGGCTAATTTCCAGACATCTCGGACTCTGTGATGTCAGGGGGCATGATAAATTTAATTTTTTACTCATTTGAAGTGCTACATAAGACGCAATTTGTAGATTACTTGGCGGTCTATTTGCGGCATTATTTATTTTCACTCACAGGCAAATAACTTTATTCCGCCAAAGCAATAGCATCTATAACATGATTTTTCGAAAAAAGTATAATTTTACTTCTCACTTTCATTTCTAATTCAAACAAATGACACTCATTTATCTTTCAAATTTGTCATCTTTCCAGTTGTCAACTTTCTTTGCAAATAAATTTATATTTTCGATTTATTTTCTAGTAATCTGTTGCAGCTTTTTTGCATTCACAGTTTTTATGGCATTAATTGTTGGTATACTCACTTATCCGGAAGGTTTCGGTCGTTATATCGCGGGACAAGTATGCTTTCAGTTTAATTTTTAAGCTAATATTGCTTATATCTGAAGATGATTCGAATAATCACACACAAAGCTGCTCTCAATAACTACTACACTTCTGTTTTTACCCTTTTTAGCGATGCTTGAAATGTTTAGAAATTCTTTTTTTATTTTATTAGGAGAAAGATATCTTGATTCAGTGAATATTTAAGTTGTAGTTTGTAAGATCACTCACCAAACAGTAATAATTGAATTTCAAACTTCAGTCGAAAAAAGCGATCTTGAATTTCATATTAGTAAAATTTGCACAACTGCGTCATCGAATTTATAATGGTAATATATAGTCATAGAAGGAAAGTATACTTTACAAATATTTATATATTATCAGCAACAGATACTTTGTAGATAGCATCACCACTTTTTAATTCTTAAAAACAATTTAGCATTTTATGGAATTGAATTTTGGACTTGTCAATTTCTGAAGAAAGGAGGGTATAAATGACTGTCAAGTTTCTAGTTGACGTTTCGCGAAACGATGGCTGATTTTTTCAACAATTGTACAATGCATATCACAAATAGCAGTAAACAACCGTGCAGTAAAAAACTCCTTCAAAATTGGACGGGAGTTTCTTTCGGAAGTCAAATAACCATATTTCATTCACTCACATGCTATTTAATCACTTACGTAAGTTTCGTTTTAGTTTTAATTGCAAGAAAATTAGTGTAAGAAATTATTGTTAGGAAGACTGAAATCTTCCGCATCAGTTCCCTAGAATGGATCTCAATTACTTTCTTGATATATCGCATCAACGGTGACGAGGAAATTTTCAGTTCTTTCTAGTGGCAATTTGTATATCTATCAATGTGCCAGCTGGTGTTTTTGTACCATCGTTTATAATTGGAGCAGCCGGCGGTCGTCTGGCGGGGGAAGTAATGGCACTTTTCTTTCCAGATGGTCTGCGTGGACCAAATGGACCGCCTATTTTTCCTGGACTTTATGCGGTTGTTGGTATCTGCAAGATTTTGACTTATTCTTGACCGATATTTCAGCCAATTTATTAGTTAATTTTTTTAACTATCATGATGTAACCTAAAATTCGAACTTATTCCTTGTATAATATAAAGTGATTAATTATATGCAAATAGGATTTTGTGAATTTTTTGACAGTAATATTATTTCAGGTGCAGCAGCTTATACAGGCGCAGTAACACATACACTTTCTGTAGCCGTAATTATATGCGAGCTTACAGGGCAGCTTACTCCATTACTACCCGTTCTGGTACCATTTGGCCCCGTTAACTTTTCAGTTGGTGGATAATTATTTCTCATGTGGGCATCAAATAAACATTTATATCGAAGATTTGAAAAAGTTATAGAAGTAACGAGAGAATTGCCACTAAAGGCAAAAAGGATAATTGAAAAAAAATACTAAAATTTTGAATATCTAGATAGCAATGCTGGTCGGTAATGCAGTTTGCAAATTTTTACAACCTTCCATTTATGAAAGTATCATTCGAATCAAAAAATATCCATATCTACTGGACTTACCACCTTCTCGAATCAGGTTGTCCTGTATGATAAATAAACAAATATTTATGCACTTCTATGGAGTTCACATTCTATTAAACAATAATCTTCGAAGAGAAGTTCACAATGCTAAACTATTAACCATTTATTTTCATCCACTCATTTGATCAAATAGGATAATTGCATCATTCAGAAACTGGTGCTCTTTATTTTAACTCAAAATTTGAATTCCTTTTTATGGCTGATCAGATTTCTGATATTCTAAAATTGACCATATGGATCAGTATTTTTGCAATTTCTATTTCATCTTCGTAGTATTGGCTAATAGTTATAGTCTAAATCAGAAAAATTGATAGTATGTTTCATTTTTATTTCAGAATTAATTAAATTTATAGTTGGGCGCGGATATCTTTTCTCTTGTCATATAAAAATTTCTATTTTTATTTAATGAAATTCTTTTTTTTTCAGTTTATTTGACGGAATTTCTTTCCACTATTTCTGAGTATTATGTAAGGATAACCATTGTAGTGTGCATACGATAAAAGTGGAACAAATTATGGTTAAAGATGTCATTTATATTACAAAGTCAACAACTTACAGAGAGCTTCGCGAAATACTGCACTTTGCGCCAACACTTAAAAGTTTCCCCGTTGTTACTGATCGAAGTTTGTTATGTTTTCTAAAGTCGTAGACAACATTGTTGAAAAGTTTTTATGTAGTTGCTGCATGTATTGCAATAATGCAAAACTAAAAATAGACCTAATTTTGTTTTCAGATAGATATTTGTATTGATTGAGATGGCTTGCATATCATTACTTCTTAATTAATTCCATTGTTTGATAGTGTATCTATTTTATATAATGAGTACATTTAATATGTTTCATTCATGATTTGTGAATCATTCAATGTGTTTATAAATTTAGAATACAAAATACTGCTTGGATCGGTAGCAAAAAAATATTTGGCTGTGATAATGAAACGGCAATTGATTGATGCGGAATTCAATCCTTTTTCTAATAAGAAAACTGCTGGAGAGATTTTCAACAGCATAAAATGGTATTCTTTTTGTTTCTTCGTAATTAACTTTTTTTTTTAAATTCATATTACACCTTATTCTTTAGCAATTAAAAAATTTTTGATATTGTATTATTAATCAATTATCAGTATTTTTAAACTCAAATATTAGTCTATCTTTATCTTTCTATAAATCAGTATTTTTATCTAAGAAGTATGTATATTTTCAGGTCATCATTACGGCTCTCGAAAAGACAACGAGGTCAACAAAATGGAGAAGACGAAGCAACACCATTGGAATCGAATGCTACGGAGAACTTACCAGATGATGGCTCGATAACTGGAAATACATTACTCTCAATTTCACCTCTTCATGCTCCACATGGTTACTTATTTTCTGTCGCATATTTCAAAAATATTACATATTTTCAGCTTTTTGCTAATAAAATCTTATAGCAAATACCAGCTATACTTGAAATAGCCCAAGTTTTAAAATTAAAACTTTTATTTCAGCTTAAGCATTTTTTATCTAAAAAAACCGGAAACTCTCAAGTAACACACAATAGTACATGAAAGCATGCAAAGTTTGTTCACTATAGTTCATTATAGTTGACACGTCAAATAATAAATTAGGCGAAATAATCATCTGGAAACCCTATTGTACATCTTGAAAAATATTCATAGCCATAATGAGACTGATTTTTCGACAATATGAAATGAGAGTGTGACGTCAAATCCTTCAGTCCATATATTGCTAAATTTGCTAGTCATCTACTAAAGTTTAATTCACAAGAACTTTGTTACATTATAATTTGTAATGAGAATTGTTGTGAAGCAGATATATATTCACTGTTATGAAAATTGATGAAATGTGTTGTATTAATGCAACCCACACTTTTCTAATATTTGTAAATGATTCGAATTTCAAGAATTAAAAAGATTGATTAGTAAAGTGTTATAGTATGATGAATTTGAAGATTATACGTATTAAGCTGCATTAAATCATTTTTTTCTAATTTACTCCAACACTGCATTTATAAATAATATGTATTTTGTTTAATTACCTAAGCTAAGCTTTAAATTTAACTTCGGCTGATACTTTAGTAAACAAAAGCGGCATTGATATTTTCAAAATCAATATTTCTTCAGCGATATGTTTCGAACTTTTGCCTTGTAGATTTGCCATTATCAGCGATATTTGTAAAACCAACAGCTGATGAACTGAAGAGAAGGTCAAAGGTGAGTAAAGACAGCTTGTTGGATCAAGTGATAGATTTGGATGAAGTGGCTATCGATTCTGCTCCATTTCAGCTTGTTCTTGGTTCATCGCTATACAAAGTAAGATGTAAATTCTTTCCTTTCTGAAATAATGGCACTTAAAAATATAAAAACAATTGTTAATAATTGGATCGTTTTGTTTTTGAAAAGAAAACAGAAAGGATAAACAAATTTTTGAAAGCAGAGGTAAAAAAAGCTTTACTTTATGCATGAAAGATAGAAGATATAGAAGAAAAAAGTGTTTTAATTCAAAACGCAACTTTAGGTGCATACATTATTTTCGCTGCTAGCACTATCTCACGCATATGTTACCGATCGTGGACGACTGCTTGGTGTTATCGCTTTAAAAGAGGTGCTTTTTTTCATGCTCGCTTTTTTAATATAGTTAGGAATAATTGTCATCAAGTAAAACAGTTTAAATCGAAATCGATCACTTTAGTAATATTTTAATTCCGCAATCCTTAAATCGTTATAAACTTTTCACGTCTTCTGGTGTTATGGTCATTTAGTCTTTGCACGAGGGCTTGATTCCTTTGACTATCAGAATTATGCCATTCATTGTAAAATATTCAAATCTTGATTGATATCATTACTTCTTACTATAATCACTTGAAATGTTGCATTCAGTGATTGAAACCTTGAGAATTCAAAGAATTATTTTTAAAATTTACAGTTACGTGATGCGCTGGCAAATATATATGTTCGTGGTGCAGTGGCGGTTAATTCGGATCGGAAAGGAACTACCAGCAAGTTATTGTTATCGCAAAAATTAGATGAATAGTTGAAAGGAAGTCTTGAAGAGACTAAGACAAATGATAAGAAGAATGGCACAAAAATCATGCTTTGTTCTGAATCCGAAATCAGGTTTATGTACTTCCTAATCTACGACTTGTGATATGGATGAAAATCTTACACATAAATTGTTAATTCAATATCCAACTGCGTTTCGCGTATAGATGTCGGTATTTCTCGGATTGTCTGATGTTACACTTTCCGATAATGTCTTCATAGATTGAAGATAGTCGATGACTAATTTTTTCAGCCATTCACTAACTTTAAAATCTTATTTTAATTTTCCAAGCTTGGCTTTTTTGGATTTTTTTTCCAAGAAAAAGTTAAATTACAATAGTGGTGCTATTTCTCTCTATTTTCTTGGTCTTAACTTTTGAGCCAAGATCAATATTTATTTTAAAAAACTTATGTAATATAAAAAATATATTTAATATGCTACAATCAGTTCTCATGGCAATGAATTTTGTTACAATATTCAAATTCTGTTATTACGACTGGCAAGCATTTTATCAAGATAAATGTTAGATAAGAAATGAAATCCTTGAAACCAAATTATTTAGAATTGCTAGAATCTGATAAATTGTATCTTAATCAAATCATTTGTATTGTGACATAAGCCAGCATAATAGAATCTTATTTTATACTCTTACTGTTTTTTTCGCTGCAGAGAAAATTTTTTTTGTTTTCTATTAATATTTTGAATTCACTTGTAACAGTTATTAATCTCAAACATTGCCTTAGCATATTTTTATTAATTGCAATTTAATCTTTAGTATTTTTTCTCAATCTCTCTTTGTAATCTCCAGTCTAGTCTACATTAAGCATTAGAATGTTAAAATATCTAGTAAACATCAATTACTTTAGAAATAGTAATTTGATGTTTGCTGTATGGAGAGAACAAGACTTAAACTCTATGACTAAATTTTTCACGTGATGTATAGTTTTAGTATTAAATTCTTAAACGAATTTTATTCATATTTCTATTGATTCCTGTTTACTTATTTACTTCCTTAATCTCCGTTGAACATTGAGAGAATTTATAACATGTGTCGCATGAACATCAGGTATTTCTTTTTCCCACTTTTAAAACAAAGTAGTATCGAATAAGATATGGACAGTAATACATTGCATTATGACCTTCTTTCCTTCTCTGTCATTGCCTAAAAAAATGAGCTGTTTTTCCCAGTTAAAAGCCGAAGAGAAATAATAACAGCCATTGAGTGCTGACAATCTGGAAGAGTTTTAACTTGTATTCTCGCTTTGCATTTTATTGTTACTGTTCCTTATTAATGTGGCTTCAAACATAAAATCACAATCTAATTTATTTTCATATAATATACTTTGAAAATTCCACGTCTTTGTCTGCTAATAGCTATGATTTAAATTCCAATTGTGATCTAGACTGAAATTAATTCTGATTGGTGAGACATGTTTATATAATTGGAAAATTTTCAATGTAAGTCAAATATTTTGTGCAATAATATCGGACATAGTAATCTTGTTAAGAAATTGAATAGCAATGTAATAGAGTTCAATTATCTTTAAAAAGCGATAACAAATATTCTTACAGATGAATTAATATCTTTCAAAATAAAGCAACAGAACTGATGATGATTTCCGGTTGACTCATTAAGGCTCGAAAACTCCACTAGATTTACAGGCATCATTTTTTCCTTTCCTTTTTTCCTCCTGTTTCTTTTTTCTTCATCATAGTATCTCTGTACAATTACGACTTCAAGTCTTGTTTGCGGATCAGATCAGCATACTTTCCGTCTAATTCGATAAGCTCTTGATGTGTTCCCTCTTCGACCACTCGTCCATTTTCGACGAAAAATATTTTATTTGCGTGTTGAATGGATGATAGCCTATGCGCAACTGTAATACATGTCCGACCACTACTTGCCATGTCCAGTGCTTCTTGAACTATCTGAATATAGGTTGATAAGAATGATTAAAAACAAAGGGATTGGAAAACATTCAGAAATATTTAAACATCATTTATTTCACATTCATTATTTCTATTAACTGAAGCAATTCAGTAGATCATATTTTACTTCGTTGATAATTCCGGAGCAGTTTATTTGTAACTCTTCGTAAATTATTAAATTATTAAGGAAGCAATCTTCGTAAAAGATTTTTAAAATCAGAATTTTTTGAAAATGGAAACTAATTTTTTGCTAATTGTTGAAAAACTCGAAATTTGGTAATATAAAATTATTAACATGAACAAATATTTTGTATAACTGACAGTTAGGCTAAAGAAGTTACTCGGAAGAATAAACGTTTTCAATCATTACGGTGGAATACCAATTTGCTCTCCCGGTCAAAAAAAATTTTTACGACACTAAGAAAAAGAATAATGAATTGAAAATTTTTCAATGATTTCGAGGAACTAAAAATTCTGGACTGGAAAAATATATTTTAATACTAACCCTTTCGCTTTTTACATCTAATGCACTGGTCGCTTCATCAAGCAACAATATTTTCGGGTTTCGAACTAATGCTCTGGCAATCGCAATACGCTGTTTCTGACCGCCTGACAGCTGCCCTCCACGTTCGCCGACTTCCGTCTCATAGCCCTAAATGGATATATATCAAAATATTAGTAGCAAAAATATGGAACATAACAATTTGTATTTTCTGTAAGCAAAGCTTCACATTTTTATGTCACGTCCTTTCTTACAATAAATATTTCAGCGTAAGTTTCCATATTACCTTTGGTAAAGCTTCAATGAAACCAATAGCATTGGCTATTCTACAAGCTTCACGTACGTCATCCATTGTTTTACCAGTAGTACCAAGCAAGATATTTTCTACTATTGTGCCGCTGAACAGTATCGGTTCCTGACCGACCAGTGCCATTTGATCGCGTAAGTATCGAAGTGATATTTTTGTGATTGAATGATCATCCAAATTCTAAAAGCCTACTTACTGTCATTTATCACCGGATTAGGTGTTTGTGACTTTGAAGGACCAGTTAGAAATATTACTTTGAGCACGAAATTAGAGCGGTATCGCAGTGATATATTCGCTTTTGTTACTACGAATGATCATTCTGTTGTCCATCGCAAGAAATAGCAGCGAATAAAAAAATTGTTTTATTTTTAAAATCTATGAACAATCAGTTACTAATACAAAATTCAGCCCTATCAAGTTATCCTTAAAAACATCCTAAAAAATTTCAAGTTCCATTTCTCTGCACATAGTTACAATTGATGACGTCAGTAAGCTTACCAATTTTCCAGAACTAAATTGATAAAAACGTTCCAGTAATGCGATTACAGTACTTTTGCCGCTTCCAGATGGTCCAGTGACAGCAATTGTTTGTCCCTTAAATTTCATGTTTCAGTAAATGCTATGAAGAAGTTTGCTTTAAAAGCTGATCAATTTTTACTTTAACTAACCGCATAGGCTGTTAAATTAAGACCATTAAGAATATTTCGCTGTGGCCTTGTTGGATATGAAAAATGGATCTTTTTAAACTCAACATCACCCGTTATTTCCTGAAAATGTTTTTCAGTTAAAAAGTAATTTCTTGAAACAAAGCAGAGTATTTTGGCAATATCTTAAAGTATATTAATTTCTTATATTTGGAAAATGAAATGATATTTAAATATTTAAATTGTTTAAAGTGTATCAAAAATTTTCAGATTTCTTATGAACTTTGAAAATAATGCTGTGCAAAAGTTTACTGGACGTGAGCCTTCATCAACAGTACCAGAATTACTTCCAGTATTGATGATCTGGAATAATGAATCCGAAGCTGGAGATGCCATGACAAATGTATTCAAACAACCAGCAACCATAATTAGTGCCCAACCACTGGTTGAAATTGACATTGAAGCGCTGAAATATCAATTTGCTCTCAATTATGGCTGAAAACAAATGCAATATTTGACAATAAAAGATCAGCTGAAAAAATCGATCATAAATGAATGTTGTTGAAGTGAAATTTTCACATGAAAACTTCATTCGACACTGGCCATTAACTATGATAACTTATATTGTTCAGTATTAGATATGATAATTTACGATAACTGACGTGAAAACTTCATTTGGTGTTGAATATCCATAGTAGATTAATGCAATGCCTACTGCATATGATAGCATATCACCGAAAAACATGAAAGAGGATGTAACGGCAAAAAGTACTGCTTCATATGGGCCACTTTTTTTCTGCAAACGCAACAGTTCCTGGATTTGCTGGACATATTTCCTATGGAAGTGTTCCTCTCTTGTGATCAGTTGAATTGTTCGTATCTGTTCCACGATTTCGATCGTCAACTGTTAAAAAAATTCATTAAGTTCGTTCTCATTTGCATATTATTATTATCAGAAATCTGTCCTGCAAATATATGACGAAATATGCATCGCAAAAAAACGGTTTTGATGGCAGAAAAAAGATGTTGAAAGAAGTTGGTCCGACAATCCATGATTAACATAATTTTTTCACTACCTAGCATTTCTATGTACTTTTTGTAATATTTCATGTACTGTGATTTCCTGTCACTATTGAATACTATTTTGCGGAAATTGTCACACAAATATCACGCTTGCAGCTATAAAAAACATATTTACTTAATCAACCGATTCAAAATGCGCCTCCATGTATGATTATAGTGAAATGAACCAAGTTTTGAGAAGAGAATGAATTGAAAGAAAATAGCTTACTTGACCAGTAAGATCCTTTTTTAAGGCACATTTATTCAAATTCTGCATTTTACGTGCAATAAGTAAAAGCAGCAAAATAAGTGTTAGGAGATTTCCAGTGCCAACTAAGCCAATTCGCCAATTGAATGCTATTGCAACAACAACCATCACAAAAATCGCCACAACGTTATTCACAATTTGCATCATTCGCGAATCAAGCGCCTATAAAAACACTGTTTTTTTAATTAATTGAATTGGATGTAAAAGATAAAGATAAAGCTTAGCTATTTGTAAAATGAACAAATTTGAACCATTTTATTATTAAGAATTATTAAATATATACATATATATAAATATATAAATTCTGGAAATAAGTAAACAGATCTCATAAGGATATTACAGCTTTAATGTTTGGAGCATCAACAGATATACGTGTGACAGTCACAGCAGTGCTTGTAGATGGCGTATCAAAATATGCAGCATCTTGATAAAGAATATTTCGCAGCGCTCGGAGGCGTAGAAAGTCTACAACACATTCTGCAGCCCATCCAAATGTAAATGTCTATAAATGTATCGGTTATTTAAGTTAATAGTAATGTTTATTTCAATAATTAATAATCGAGAAAATAATTTCTTAACTATTACAAGGCCAAGATAATACGCGCGACTTCGCAAAAACATTTTAGATATTAAAAATAATTTTGATTAAATATTCCTTCAAAAGAGTTTTGTTAGATATTCAATTTAAGGCTTATATGTTCTAATTTTCATATAAAAATTTAAAAAATACTTACTGCAGCAAAAAGGACAATTACGCATGCTATACCCAGTGCGATGTAAATAATGGCAACAGGTAAAATTCGTCGCATTATTGATTCCAAATCCGTCGGTGCGAATGCGTCAAATGTAAGATTGAAAATCAATACAAAAGCTGGCAATTCCATCCCACGAAGCAATGACACGAACGTGGCCAATGTCAACTTTCCGTAATTGCCGTGACAGTTCGTATACAATTGCCACAAACCTTTTGATTTATTTTTTTTCTGCAATGTGTATTTCATTTTTTGATAATACCAAAAGAATTACATTGAAAAGAACTGTATCAGATAGGAAACAAAAAAAATTCATGTCACATCAAATAAGATCAGAAAAAGTCAAAAGTCAGTTATTTAACTTCTAAATAATACTTATCACAGAAGAATGGCTTTCAAACATTAACAGTACAATTGAGCTAATGTTATTAGTTCCTGAGGCAATAACAGCTTTCAAGGTTGTTGGATGCACTTTTATTTCTCATATAACGAGCGAGATTAGTAGTCAAGTCAGGACGAATTTTATTCCATCCATTTTGTACCTTACAAAATGCCACAAAAAAGCGATTTTTTTTTGCGCATGTTCAATTATTTGATTTTATTTCTTTGCTTTAATAAATATCCAAATATTTAAAATGATCATCTTTGAAAATCAGCGAAATTTAATCTTACTAAATTACTCCGATACACTTTATTTTTAAATTTACATATTTGGTACGATGCATTGCTGCCTTCTGAGTGCAAATACAAGAAGGGAGAAGCACACCAGTAAGAGAATAAAAATTTGAGAATAAATCAAATTAATTAAGCAAACCTTTCCATGTTGTCCAATAATTTTTTCTGACAGTTCTTTAGTAATTGATGCACGTTTCACATCACCACTCATAATGCTACCTCGTGTCATTGATGATAGCATACCGTAATCTGATGAGTTCCGACTACTTCCAGTACTATAAAATCTTCATTTTAAGACAGTTGACCACTCAGCTGTCAACAATTCTTTGCCTTTGATATATTTTGAAATATCAACACAGATTATTGACCATTATTGTAATTGATTGGTACGTTAATACGACTCAAAAGATTTTACAAAATTTGTGAAAGACTAAAATGATCACTAAAAAGAAAGATTCTACAAGGATCTATGAAATGCTTGTGATGGAAGTTCTTCAGCCGGGACAGGTGCCACCTTTCGTTTTTCCTCAAACTGCTGTGATTTGACCAGCGATGCATAAATACCACCCTTTCGGCTGCAAAGCTCCTTATGCGTGCCTGCAAAATTGCAAAAATTAAGTGGAAGTTAAGAAAGATGAAATTTGTAATTGAGACCGTTACTTATTGCAGATGATCACTTTGCAAGTAAATCAGAACGTTTTCATTTTTTTAGTTTTGGCTGGAAATCATTGACTAGATATTGAATTTTTATTAGTCAAAGCATTAAGTCTTAATTTTTAATGCAAACAGAAAATATCACTAAAATAAATAACTCTCACCGATTTCAGCGACCTGACCTTTATCAAGAACTATAATTTGATTAGAATCACGCAATGTTGACAATCGATGGGCAATGACGATTGTTGTACGTCCAACAGATGCCTGGAAACCAAATGGCTCCGTTAGCCGTGAAATGTATTTATCAGGTAAAAGTATTTATCATTTAATTAGTCTTAAAATTGTAAATAAAACTCGCAAAATCCATAAAATCCATGAAAGAATGTAAAATTTGTAGTTAAGAACAAATTAAATTACATTTACAAATAAGGAATTTATTAATAAATAAGGCTTAAGTAAAAAAGGAATCCTCATGGACCTTTTTTAGGGCGTTTTGCACCATCACTTCACTTTCCGCATCCAGTGCGCTAGTAGCTTCGTCCAGAAGCAGAATTCTTGGATCTCGAGCTATTGTTCGCGCAATCGCTATTCGTTGTTTTTGCCCACCGGATAGTTGTATACCTCCAGCTCCGATCCTCGTATCGTAGCCCTTTCATTCATTTTTATTTTATTTTTAGACTTTTATTCTAACTTGTATAAAAAAGAAGTATCTACAGTTTTTCACACTTTATCAATAATTTATAAAGCAGTGAACTTAAATTATTCTAACAACTGTCATTTCATATAAGTCAAATTTACATTTTACCTCACTTAGTTTATCAATAAAATCATGTGCATTCGCGGTTTTGCAAGCATTAATGATTTCTTCATCTGTAAGATCAGGATTACCAAGTTGTATATTTTCTTTGATTGTGCCGGTGAATAACAACGGTTCCTGAATTTGAAGGAAAAGCATTAGCGACAAAATAAGGTAATTAAATCGCTAATGAAGGCAAAATCCCTTTTACAAGAGATTTGAAGTTGGTTTTAAAATTGATCAGATTGTAACAATATACTGTAAAAAAACTAATAAAAATAGCAAAAGCTAAAAATAATCTTTGCTGATGAGTAGATTAATAAAGTACCACCGAACCTGTTGTACAACGCCAACAACATTTCTCAAACTGTGGATATTGATATCGAGCACGTTAATTCCATCAATCAGCACTGCACCCGAATTACAGGTATATAGGGAAGTTAATAAACCAATCTGAATTTTTGATACAAATGAATGAAAAGAAAGATCGATGATACATATATCTAAAGGATGTAAATATACATTCGTGCAAGTCTATAAATCAATGTGAAGAAATGTTTTCAAATCAATTAAATACAGTAAAATGTCAAACATATAATTAAAGAACTGACAGAGGTGCTTTTGCCACATCCACTATGACCCACAAGCGCTACCGTATCACCCGGTTTTGCTACCCACGATAAGCCGTTGAGAACCAAATGTTCTTTACTCGTTGGATATGAAAATTTAACGTTTCGAAATTCTACTAGACCATTTACCTCGTTCAGCTTTATACCATCTTTTGAACTAGAATCAATAGATGGTTTCTGAAATTTGAAATTAAAATTAAGCCGAACCTTCTGATAACAGTCTGTTATTAACTTATGTATTATCAAAAAGTCTACATGAGGAAATCATTGAAAACATAATAACTACCATGAAATGTAAATTAGGATTGAAAAATCTGGCCAAACATGAATAACATCAGGCATCATTTCCTTCCATATTCCAAACCTTTTGTAATTTCATCTTTCTTCTTCACCTAATTTTTGCATGTTAGTTATCACATTGACTCTTGGCATTGGAACGAGAGAGTAGAAAACTTCGCAACCCAAAATATCTGATGACTTTTGCGGCGATCGCAATGTTTTCATCTCTATTGGAAGCAAGAACTTCACAATTTGTTTGGGCGTAAATTCGAGCATCACAAGGCATGATGAAAGACTAATGAATGGACAGAATGAACTTTACAAATGATTATGATAGATTGATGGACTGTGAAAATGATGCATGATCAATGTGATAAACTTTGTGAATGTATTGTCAACATAATGAACCCTGCAAGTGATGTGTAATCAACGTGATGAATCCTTTAAGTGAAAACAATTTCTTCGTTTTTCGTCATTGGTGAGATCTGTTATACAGTAGTCTCAGCAATCAAAAGATAAGAAAAAGTTAACTTACTCGGTCGATTATTTTGTAGATAACAGCTGCAGCAACTCGCGCATTAAGTACAGCCATCAAGTGTGGACTAAGTACGCCAAGATAGTAAGAACCAAACATTATCACATTTGCAACAGTAAATATATATCCTGGATTCATTACTGTATGAATTTGATACAGATAGGCACCATAGCTGTAGAAAAACTATGTCAGAAACTGTTTTGACAAAATGAAGCAGTTCTCGAATTTATAGTTTTGAACAAATGCTGGTCTTGATTATGCTTGCATTTATTTTCTTCGAGTCACGACATTTTGACTTTGGATTTATTCAGAAACATAAATAATCATTCCTGCTCTGCTTTTAGTAATTAAAAAAAATAATTTTGACCAGAAAAGGTAGCAGCTGATTTTGAAAAATTTATAAACAAGTATGGAAAGATAAAACAACTTAAAGGTGGAGGGTTTAGAATCCAGACTAATAAAAACAAATAAAACCCGAAAAAAAAAATTGAATTGATGGCTTGCGAAAAGAATACGAATAAAGAAAATGGGAAATATTTAAAGTTAGGCCAAAATTGAAACTTTAAGCAAAAAAGTTGAATGAAACTAACTAGAAGCCAGCAGCGAAGAAAAAATACAAAACGAAGAAGAAGAGGCCGTCGAAAAAACCTGCGAATGCATGTGTCTGCAATGCAAATTTACGACACGCTTTCAGTGCTGCAGCGTATCGTCCGATCATTGTTTCTTGTGCATTACAAGCAGCTACCGTTTTTACATTTATGATTGATTCTTCAAGAATTGCTGCAGCACGACCATCAGCACTAACCTGCAGGCCGTTTGAACGTTCCACTTTCTGCAGAAGACCTCAGAGATAATGGTTAAGTGCTAAGCAAAAATTGCGAAGAAACAATTAGTTGATCGATATTTTTACTACTGTATATGAATTTTGCAGAGCTGAACAAGCTTGTTCAGATATTTTGAAAAATATTCACTAGCTATTGTAAGCTTACTCGAGCCATGATAGACAAAAGCGCAGCAGAAGCTGGTCCCGTGCCAAGCATTACCAACGTTATCCGCCACTCATAGATGAATCCGATCACTAGAGAGATCAAAAACATTGTTATGCCACGTAAAATCATGCCTACTTTATCACCGATACCATCCTTAATTTTTTCTATATTTCTGAAATTGAATTATTTCTACTTGGAAAGTGAGAAAATTATTAAAAATGCAAAGAATTACATGTAATTCCGTGTCGCGAAAGTAATCGCGAATTTAGCAAGAAATTAAATTTAAATCGAAGTGTCTATATTTAAGCAAATCATGTTAATCATTTATTTCTTATAATTGTAAGTCAAATTCCTTAATAATTCATGAATTGTAATGTGTTAAGGAATTCCCATGCTAATCTGATATGTCATCTAAACACTTCCT